CGATGCCAAAACGAATTCTGTGGCTCGAATGGTTCTTGAGAAACTTCGAAAAAAGCAGCGTCATGTTCAAGTAGATTTTGCAACTCAAAAAAAAACCACGCAAACCTAAAACTTCTTGAATTCAAGCATTTTTTGAGAAAACTGCCTTGGTTTACTTTCTAAAAAGGCCATTTAGTTTTGTTTGGAATGATGTACAAATGAGCGTTCTTGCTCATTTTGCTTCCGAGAAACATGCAAAACGGGACGGAAAACATGATATTTTGCAATAATCTTACGCCACCCTTGCACAAAACGACGATAATTTTTCTAATTTTATAGATAACAGAAGACCCCCCCTGACTAAAGCTGGATCCGCCCCTGACTGGTTGCACTTGAGTTGCACAAATCAAAAAAGCGTTTTGATTGGTTGGCAGAACGACAGCGCGCAAAAGAACATTATGCCCAAAATCTCCCCTGGAAGACTTTGGAAAAATGTTCATAAAATGCCCAAAAACGACTTACATTTCCACGCATTTACTGCGACTTTCTTTGCGGAACTTTGGCAAAAATTCCACACTTGATGGCGCAAATTGGATTTTTCCTGTCGCTCCCTCTCTTTCTGCCTGCACTCTTCCGTTCGATGCCTGATGGTGACCCAGGATTTCTTCAGCCAGATCAGCACCCTGCTGCTGGGCAAACGTTTCGGATTTTGGTCATCGGCTTTGGTGTTCAAGCGCGGGATTCCCATCAATCCGTCCTCTTCGTCCTCCTCCTCTTGACCATTCAGCAGACTCAGATGTCCCTCCTTCTTCCGAATATTCGAGTCTGGTTTACTAAATTTGCCGTAAATGGTCGATAGCGAATCTTGAGCTGAAGCCCGAAGCAAATCGGCCCCTTCGCTGAAGTCTGTTGAAGGCAAAATGTCCTGGCTGGCTCTTTTTGTGCGGTTTAGTTCATTTTTTCTGTGCCTAAAAAATTAATGTAGAGTATATAGTAAGGGAGGTGTGGATTTGGATGTTTACTTATCGCCATCAAAATAGTCCTGATCTTTGGAGCCACACGCTGTTGTTATACTGTTGGGCGATATTTTCACTGTGCAAGTGTCGCACATGTTGATGGCTACAGCCGTATTGGGCGGGCCAAACCTTCTACTAGGCCCACCATTACTTGCTCCTGAGCTGTATTAAACAGTTTATCTTTATTCCTTTTTTTATTCCACTCTGTACTAGGCCTGGGTAACTGGGAGGATTTTTTGGAGTTGGCGCAGTGCTGCGCAAATGGCTTGGTGCGCCAACGCAGTTCCGTGGCTGGGAAAATGTTGATGACTTTTTTTAAATTTGTTTTAAGGACCATTTATTAGTAATATTTTTAAAATTTATTCAGAATTTTTCAGTCTTTTACGTTCGTACGACGGAGGACGCACAATAAAACATGCAATACGGGACGGAAAACATGAAATTTTGCAACAATCTTGCGCCACCCTTGCACAAAACGACTATTAACAAAAGACTGTATTTTTCTACATAACCCCCTCCTGACTTAAAAGCTGGATCCGCCCCTGTGCATGGGACTTTACTCGTCAACTCAGAGAGCGGCAACGACTCAATAGCGCAACTCAACACAGTGTTACCCAGACCTACTCTGTACCTGTTTCTGCAAACACATTTGTCGTAGCTTGGAGAAACGCTCTTTCCTGCCGGCTGCTCGGTTTGACACTCGTTGTTATTGCTGCAGCCACATTCGTGCCAGATACCCGACGATTTCTTGCTCTTTTCGTCAGATTTTTGGGAGAGTTGAGCACTGTCCACCATCTTTTTGTACATGCTATTCAGCCGCTTTATTTCATCTTTGTGGTGATTTAACTCGGCCAGAATACCATCAAATTGACGACTGGTATCTCGGCTTTGCATCTGGAAGTGTACTTTGTACAGCAATTTGCACCCTCATCGAACTGTTAGTTGCGGCACCTTAATAAGCATCCGCAAAGACTCAGCTTCTCCGGCTGGAATGCCTCCATTGCTACCAGTCGCATAGGGTATGATGATGGTGTTCCTGCAGGCGCTGTCGCAGTTCCTCTTCTGGCGCCCGCATTTATTGCAAGTGTTCCCTTCCTGATCCCTGGACTTTTTGGCCTTCGCCGGTTGGTCAGAGTCACGTCCGACTTCTGCAGGCGTGACCTCATTAAGCATGAACCTGCTTCCACTGGAAACGCACCTTTTTCTTCGCGAAGCGACACGCCCTTGTCCTGTTGGGGTTTTGGGCCCCAATCTTCTCCAGATGGGGATGAGGAGACTTGCACTCCCACCTCCGAGTCCGTGGAAGTGGGAGTGGAGGTTTTTTCCTCATGGAACCGAATGTGCTCGCTTTTGTCTTTAGTTGTTATGGGAAGGGTTTGCACCGACTGTGGTCTGGCTGCAATCCCCTAAAATCGGCTGCTAAATTGTGTTTTTTGGCTGCAATTTTACGCTGCAGTTTACCTGGCAGTATTCATCACATTGTCTTCGCTTCTTTTTCGACCCAAAGCAGCCAGTAGTTTCCTTTTTGGCCTTTGGGGCGTTCGATCGGGGGGTGCTTGCAACCGAGTCGACTTCTCCCGATGAAACTTTGCCTTTCCTCGTTTGCTTGGCCTCTTCGGATTTTCCTTCTCCTTTTGCTTTATCACCTACGTGTCCCAAAGAAAGACATTAATAAATAGACCAAGCTAGTCATTCATAAATCCCGATTTGTTTGGGTCCAACATTAAATTCTATCGATCGGCGATTTATCAATGAA